AGGTCCTAAGCTGGGTGAGAGGTGGCTTGCACATTCTGTGGCAAATGTCAACCCCCTGGCACATGAAGCCAGCTGGGATGAGTGCACAGAGTTTCCGGGACTGAGAAGATGGAGAAAGAACCTCCTGGAAATCATTCTGGGGATGCCAGAATTTCCCCCAGAGGGCTACTGTAGTCAGCATGTGGGGAGAACAGAAGATACCCGCTGTTCTCCTGAGGTCCCCAGGGCCCCCAGAGGCCACTTTTGAGTGGCATCACTAATAATGCTAGTTCAGGCTTCCCTTGTGGTTTTAAGAATAACCTAAGTTATTACACTGCAAATAGCGCTATTGAGCCGCCCTCCATTGAGCACTTCCCTGGAAAGAGGGCAGGATGCTTTCTATGGAGCCCCACGTGGGCGTTTGTGTGGCTTTCCAGGGAAAATCCTGGGTGGCACGTGCTTCTCTCTTGTCTTGTCAGTGACCAATGTGGCCTGATCAGAGTTGGCAGCTCCTTGGGGGGCACTGAGCTCACCGGGTCTTTCAACACAGCCCTTTGTGGAATATTCTGTTTTGCTTTCCCACCTGCCACTTTGTTATTTTCAATTCTGCCAGGAACTTTCAGAACCAAGTCAAGACACATATAATTTGGTTAGTGATCTAAGTAAGGCAAAGCAGTAAAAAGAAACTTAAATGTGAAGGGGGAGGGACTGAGTGAGTTTTATGCAAGAGCCACTAGTACCACGATTTAGTGAATTCCTACTGTGCAGCTGGCACTGAGCTGCTCTAACGCATCCTTATCTTTCTATCTTAGCAAAATCTCTGTAAATGCATTGTGCTTTCCATATAAGGAAGCTAAGGCATAGAGACAGCTGGTAAGCAGGGAACGCTGAGTTTAACCCATGGTTGTCCAATCTGAAACTCACTTTTTTCACAAGACATGCTCTCTCCTTAAGAGGTTTGAGACAGAACTCAGACCCTCTGTGACAAATGGGATACCTTAAGAATCTAATGCCAGAGAGGAAAGAACACAAGGTTTGGGAGCAGGTAGACATGATTTGGTTGGGAATTTGAATCCTAGCTCTCCCCCCTTTCTATGGCTTAGGAAAGTTACTTAAATTTTAAGCTGTAGCCCTCTGCCATTGCCCTGCAGTGTTCTGGAAGCTTCTGCCCCTCTGTGGACGCTGCAAGTTGTGTGTTAATTCTGCACAAATGGTTTTAGCTAAAGTATCTTTGGAAGCACTTGAACCCAGTTAAGTTTCCTAAGACATCTGATGTCACTCTTATTGCTGAGATTATGAAGGCCCAGTGCAAACTTTTTTCCATAGCTCTTAAAGATCAAACTTATAAAATGATTGCGAATAAAGTCAATAAAAAAATTAAATTTGATTTGGTCTATGCAGGGAGGACCCACATTCTTAGTTGGCGGATTATAATCCAAAGTGGCTTGCTTTCCCCTCCAGCCTACCCTCCTCCCAGGAACTAGAAGTTTCTTGCTTTGGCTACTGTTCTTATTTCCAGAGTTTGCATTGTTATAGGCCAACCAGGCACATTCTGTGTCTTTTGTTTTTAAATTGTCGTAAAGGACTTTTAAGACCTGGAGGTCACCACTGGCTCATTCCCATGGGAAATCTCCTCCAATTATTTAGAGAAATTCTTGTGGGAAAAAAAAGGGGGTGGAGTGCAGATAAATAGCTGTTTGTTTGGAGGCTCATAGAAAGTGATTGCTGTACATGACCCAGCTTCCTCACTGGTGCTTCTGAAAGCTGAGGTTTGCTGGTTCAAGTCCTCGGCGCCTCAGAACCATTCATGAGTCCAGGCAGAGATCCTTCCTGTGAAGAAGTGAAATACAGCCCAGCCCAGCCCTGGTGCCCAGCGTAATGAGCTCTGGGATTGATCTCTTCCTCCAAGGACTTGCTCCACCCTTCCCCACTGAGCAAGTCTGACCCACTGACCCTCGGGCCAGCCCATGGTGGTGGGGGTGGGGGTTGGAGGGGGGTGGGGGTTGTGTTCATGTCAGTGGTGGAGCATCTCCCCCAAGTGGTGTTTTGTAAAATGCATTTTTAGGTAAACCAGAATAGTTACTGAAAAATTACAAAGCCAGAAGCCTTGGGGAAAACAAAATCAAAAGGATAGTGAAACTGCATGAAGGACCTGGAATGAAGAGAGTTTTGTCCTATTTTTTCATTTATTTACTAAGCCTTAGGAGCATGCTGGGTTCTGAAGGGAAATGAAAGAGGGAACTTTTCAGTAAATATTGATCCCGCATTTCCAATGAGAGGTGACCAACCCCCACCCTACTCGGGGCACCCCATGGCTGCTGCAAGTCCATTCCCCGGCTGCCTGATTCAGCTCAGGGGCTGGAATTTTGAGCCTGAATGTTTTAGAATGACCATGCCTTTTCCAACACCACCCCGCCTTTGCTTTTGGCTAACCTGCTTCTCTCATTTTCTATACCCTGACATTTATGCTTGTAGCCCCTAGAGTTGGGAGTCATACACTACAGTATAATCTAATGCTCTGAGGATCCACACTGGTTGTTCCTGTTGCAAGGGGGGCTGTCTTGTGCTTTGTCAGATATGTTTAGTAACCTCACCGGCCTCTATTCAGGGAGTAAAGTCTTCTCCCCAGCCGGGAACCACCTTTATATGTGAAGTCTTGATATATGAAAAAGAGCAGCAGCCACTGTGTTTCTTGATGCAGACACTGGGACTAGATCCAGAATGTTCTTCCACGCCATATGAAGATGCTTAGGCTTCATTCTTTAGGCAGTGGGAAATGATGAGAGCCTTTCACGCAGGTCATAGGTATCATTAAAAAAAAAAAAAAGAAGAATGAAATCTGTATTCCGATTATTGTGCGTCCATCTCCAGCCATGTGCAGAGCACCTTCCGTCTTGTAAAACTGAAGCTGTATCTTTAACCATAGCTACCTGCTCACCCCTTCCCCCAGCACCCCCCAACTCCCGCTCTACTTTTTTGTCCTTGTGACTCTATTACTCTAGGCACCTCCCAAAAGGGGAATCATATGATATTTGCCTTTCTGGAACAGGCTTATTTCACTTAGCAGAATGTTCTCCAGGCTCATTCCTCTTGTAACATGTATCAATTTCCTTTTCAAGGCTGAATTGTATTCCCTTCAACACATAAACAAAACATGGTATGTCCATCAGTTGATGGACACTGGGGTTACTCTACCTTTTGTTCATTGCTGCTGTGAACACAGTCGTGCATGTGACTATTCGTGTTCCTGCTTTCTGTCCTTTCAGGGCGTGTACCCAAAAGAGGCCCTTGGTCTTATGGTATTGTTAGGCCCTTTCTCTAACAGGGATTCTGGAATCTGTCCCTAGCTCCCTGGCCTTCCAATGCTTCCTTTGTTACCCTTCTGCTTCTCCTCGTGAGAGTCTAGGCTGGGTGCTGTGACCAGCCAGAGAGCTGTGGCTGAAGTCTCCCTGCGTCGCCTGCCTGTGACGATCCCCATCTAGCCCCAGCCCAGCATGTGAATCAGGAAAGTCCATGCTCCAAGCTCAGTAACCCCACTCATGTGCCCTGACCTTCCCAAGTTTCCTTCTCTCTCTTGGGGCCTCTATCTCCACGTCCCCACAAGGAGAAGGCAGCACTAAGCCATACTTGGGTCCCTTCCACGCAGAAGGGGAAGGCAGCGTGGTCTCCTATACCAGAAGCCAGAGTGGGTGAGAAGAGACCAGCTCTCCACACTCTACCATGGCAGTTGGACCAAAACCTCATCTTCCCCCAAACCTGGGCTGGTTTCTGGAGCATGCTACATGGCTAGTTTTGTGAGTAAATGTAGCAGCAATTCCCCTTACAGCAAGATTATGTGATATTTATCATCCGCCCTTTGTTGAGAAAATGGGACAAAGAGAGGTGGAATAACTGGTTTTACCATCGATTTTTGGCAGATGTCACAAACTAGCACTGTGGAGAATATTCTGTAGGCAAATTTTACCGCTGATTAAGACTGGAGTTTGGTCATGGGCCAAGAAAATTTTAACCCCCTCTTTTTCCCACTTCTTTTTTTAAAATGATAGAAACAGACTTCCTCCTCTGGGGCTTAAACGCCAAGCGAGTCTCCTTGCCATGGACAAGTAGGTTCCAGAGGTCACCCACATGGGCAACTTTAACCCCTACTCACAGTCTGAACATGAAAATTTGGGCTTGTTTGGGGTTCCCTGCTTGGCTTTGGAGACTAGGCTGTAAATCCTTCTGTGAGTTTTCTCTCTGCTCCACCAGGGAAACTTCACATACAAACCAGTGCTGTGGTGTGCTGCTTTTCTGATGAAAGGCAAATTGCCTGTTTGTTTGTTTTTTTATTTCCCCCCCTCAAGCATGTGGTATTAGGATGACCAGAACCTTCTTGAAGCATGTATACAACTATATAGAATTTTTTAAAGAGACTATTTAATCACCTAATTCAAACACCAGCACCACACATGAAGTCTAGATTCTAAATTGTCATTTTTTTTAAAGATTTATTTATTTATGCATATAAATAAATGGGGTACAGGCCAGAGATGCAGGGGGTGAGAGGATTCACCAGAGACAGAGCGGGGAACAGAACAGGCAGACTGACTGAAACACACTGCTGAGGGGAGCAGCGGGCAAGTCAGGAGAGGTCTGCTGTGCCATGTGGCTTGCTCCCTGGCCAGGGATCGAACTCGTGCTGCAGAGGCTGCGAATAGCTTCATAGTTTGCGTCTTAACCCCTTGCACCACCAGGGAGGCCCTAAGTTGTCATTTTTTTAAAAGATTTATTTATTTATCCATACAAGAGCTGGGGTAGAGGCTAGCGATGTGGGGGGAAGGTGAGAGGATTCACCAGAGACAGAGTGGGGAACAGAACAGGCAGATGGACCGAAAGCACTGCTGAGGGGAGCAGCGGGCAAGACAGGTCTACTGCGCCATGTGGGTTTCTCCCTGGCCGGCCGGGGATCAAACTCATGCTGCAGAGGCTGTGGATTGCTTCATAGATTGCGTCTTAACCCCTTTTTTTTGTGGGACCCTCGCCAGTGGCTGGGGATCAAACTGGCACTGCAGAGGCTGCGGGCAGCCTCTCAACCCAGCGCTCAACCACTGCGCCACCAGAGGAGGCCCAGTTGTCATTTTTTTAATGACAAAATTTAAACAATTTTGAAGGTAGACAAACTTCCTCTGGCAGTTGGGCCCAGCCTAACACAACATGGGTCCCTCAGTCAAATCCACTTTGGATAAAACCCAAATAAATGAAGAGATTAAAAGGATGAGCATCAACCCTAAGACTGCACGACAGTTCTTCTGGGTTTTTGGAAACATGACCTGGGAATGACCGCAAGTGACCAGAGGTCATTTGCTTCTCTCTTCCTGACATGTGTTACTGCTAAAGGACTTTGTCACTTGTCACTGACTGATGGGTCATTAAAGACTCCTTTGACTCGAGGTGCAAGATAAGGTGAATTTTACACACGCACAGAAGTCGTGATATAGGTGTGTTGGCTTGGGGGGAGCCTGTTTTTGACAATCCTACCTCCTGCTAACATCTCAGTGAGTAAAATGAAATGATCTTTGTAGCTGCTGACATACTAGTAGAACTGAATTTAGTTCTTCTCAAGGGCTGACTTAGAATCTCTGTTTTGCTGGCAGTAGTCTTGGGTACAAGCTGGGGTGTGTTGTTAGATTAGGAAAGTTCTAGATTAGGGATCGTCCTGACAAGTAACCTCTACTTAGCAATGGGCTTCTTTACAAAATGATTTGAAGTTTCCATCTTTATTCCCATGTGAATGCAACAATAAACCTGGCCTTTTGGTATGTCCAAAATGATCCTCCTGCCTTTACATTTTTGGGGTCTGCGAAATACACATTTTGGTCTGTTCTCGGTCACCTGCTGCCTGCAATCTGCCGTCCATCTCCATGGGTGGTAGCGGAGTCTGTGTAACAAAGCTATGGATTCCATCACCCAGGTGTGCATCCCTTGACGACAGAGTTGGGGTACAGATTCCTGCAGGAGGAAGCCATGACTTTAGCCAGGATCGGACTTTCCCCTGGTCACCCAGAAAAATTAAAGCCATCTTCAGCGGCGTGGTTCTAGGACGCCAGCTGGGCAAGGGGCTGACTCGTCTCCTACCAAGTGTAGCTAGATGAAAGATGATCTGCGTGCAGTGGGTGGGGCCCTCCAGCTCAGGAGGTGAAGCCAGGAGGAGGAGAAAGAATCTGCTCCTCCACTCAGTAGAACATGGAGAGCTGGCAGGAAGTCGGAGCATGCACTGGCAGGGCGCACATTTTTGTTGATAGTTAATAACCCAGAACTTGAAAGAACTGAACGGAGAAAGGAAATGAAGCACAACCAACTTTGGAGTCTGTCCCGATCAAGTGGCTCGAAGCACCCGAGAACCCACACATGATCAGGTCATAAGGCAGGTAAGGAGGGGCGACGCGCCCGGTGACGACGAGCCTGTTCTCTCGGAACATGGGTTATATGTCTTGCAAAGGTTGATGTATGTTTTTAGAAAGCCTTGGAGAAAGGAATAGATCGTCTTGGCATGAGATTCTGATTTAACCCGAAGGGCACTGAGCTCTGACCAAGCAAGAGTTGTTTTCAGTTACTAGTTGGATGACCAAATGCCAGTTATATTCTGGGGGTGACTTTTTAAAAATCTCATGCAAACTCACAGCATGGAAGTTGGAAGCGATTTCAAATTGGCAGATGATAAATGAACGGCAGACAATGTTTTCATACAAACACAGACAATAGCCCCCTGGATTCTGATTTTCAGGCTGGACTGTTGCTGTCTTCCTATTTCAGAGCCAACAAGGTGCTTGCTAATTTTTGCTGGCTTCAGTAAGAAAGGAGGTGGATGTGTAACAGCTGTGAAATATCCTGAACTTGACTGGGATCCAGAGGGAAGCCTGAACGCACTGATGTTTTCTCCATTAAAGCTGCCTCTGCTCAGCTTCTCAGTCTGGGATCTGGAGAGTACTAGGAAAGTCAAGTGTGGCTCCTGAACACTTGTCGTGGGGACCAGGGCAGGGTTTGGAAACGGTCACAGTAGTGGCTTCGAGCACAGAAGTAGAAAGTAATCAGTCGGGGGCCTCCCCTGGTGGCGCAGGTGGTTGAGCGCAGCTCTGTGAAGCTGTCCGCAGTCTCTGCAGTGCGGGTTTGATTCCTGGCTGGCCAAGGAGCAACCCACATGGCGCGGCAGACCTCTCCTGTCTCGCCCGCTGCTCCCCTCAGCAGTGTATTTCATCAGTCTGCCTGTTCTGTTCCCTGCTCTGTCTCTGATGAATCCTCTCACCCTCCCGCACTTCTGGCCTGTAATCCGGTTCTTGTATGTATAAATAAATAAATAAATAAATAAATAGGAAGGGAGGGAGGAAAGGAAGGAAGGAAACTAATCGGTTGGGCCATGGCTGCAGCCACCTGCGTGCACAGAGAATTTAAAGAATGACGTGTGGTGGCCTGGCTGTGGCTGAGTCTCAAGCATCCCTACATCTCCAGGGCTCAGGATACAGAACAGAATAAAGACCACCTCCAGCCCAGGTCTTGGGTTTCTGAGCCCTTTCCAGGCTTGGCTTCTGATAAGGGCCTGGATTATTGGACATGGGTTTCTGCCCTGTGAAGTGGTCAGAGTGTTGCAGAACTGAGCTGCCGAGAGGCAGGCTGGAAGGCTGGAAGGGTGTGTGTGGTGAGCGTGACAGGAGCCTCAGAATGAGGTGGAGAACTTGGTTTCAGATGATAGTCCAGCCGCATCCCAGCGCTCTTTGACTTGAGCTTCAGAGAATGCCAAATTGCCTACCAGCGTGTGTCTGAGAAAGCAAGAGGTGGGAGCTGCTTCAAGAGGCCTGACTGGCTGTCTGCTGCCCAGGCCAGAGTGGCTGAGCCTGGTGGCTTTTCACTTAGGCCTGGAGGGCCCCAGGAGACGGCTGTGCTCCTTAGCAAGGCAAGCCTCATCACTGGGCTTTCTCTGATCCCACTGCCTTCCACAGCAAGAGGAGCAGCATTTCACAGGGCCTTCCAGGGACCCTCCTCCACACCCCTACCCACCACTGTCTTGCCACCATTCACCTGTGAGGTGGGTATTATTCCTGAGCAGTGTGCTTGATGGGTTTAGCCCTCAGCAGTTTGAATGGGGCTATTGTTTCAGAAACTGATTTTAGTTTCTCAGTCTGTGTTAAATGGCATTATTGCCTCCAAAGGGGTAGATTCAGAAACAAGCAAGTTGATTTTCTGCAGGGTCCAAACCATGGGAGAGAAAGGCCTGCTGAACTCTGCTCCTAGGGTTACATTGTCACCCTTGCCCCTATTGGGGAACCTTCTGATTATGAGACCTGTGAGACCAGTCGTGTGCTGAAAGAACCTGATGGGGACCAAAATTCTTGCTAACTTACACAAAAGTGGTTCACTTACTTCTTATGTGGACTGAATACTGGCCAGACTTCTGCTAAAGGAGTTGTATGGTATTGCTCCTCTGGGAAAAAAAAATTTTAAAAGATGTTTTCTGAGATAAAAAATATTAGAAAGTTAAGTGAATATCATGTTTTCAGAACAGTGTTTCTTTCTTGCTCTCTAAGAAAGCTTGCTATAGGCCTGCCAGCTTACCCTGAACCTCCAGGTCTCCTCCAACCAGCACAGTATTTCATTGTTAATGTCATTTCTCATAAGGGAAAAGGGAAATCGGGTGACCATGCTCCTGTTTAACTTGTGTCAAAACTGCAGACCTGGATTTGGAGCTGATGTCTGTTAGCAGCTTACTGTCCATTGCAGAAACACAGGAACGTTTCTCATAAGGAGAATGTACTTAAAAAAAGAAAATTAATGGCAGGTGTAATTTTTTTTCCCTCTAGGACATTTCAGTTATTTGTCCTCCTGTATTTGATGTTGTCAGTAGGGCATAATGGGGATGGGGTCTAGTTTGACAGACAAAAACAAGTGAGGAAGGATGAGAATATGTGCAGAATGGCGCCCCATGGGAGTGCGAGCTACAAAAACAAGATGGTGGCAGTACATTCGACAAGGCAGGTTGTGGGAGTTGGCAAGGGTGGGTCCTTTAATCCACCATGTGAGCCAGGCAGCACCTTTGTCTGTATTTAGAAAGGGGGTTGGCGCTGAATTTAGAGATTAAGCAACCTGCTATTCCTGTATTCACTGGAATTTCAGACAGAGTCAGAAACTTGATTTGCGTAACTTCTGAAACACAACTGGAAACCAACCATACTCAGGCCTGGACTCTCCAAGCACGGGGCAGTTAGGAATTGTGGAACGTGAGGGAGTTTATCAACTTGCCCAAGAAGGTGTGGTGCTGTTTGGCGGGGCGCCATGGGGTAGGCTCTAGGATAGAAGGTCAGCACTGGGTTTCCAGAAGGCCATAATGGAAGCATGAGTAATCTCTTCCTGTACATGCATAGGTAGAGTGTATCTCTGGCTCTGGAACCTCCTGGTATCTCAAGGTAACAAGAGGGATGTTTTCACTTCAGAACCATGCAACCAAGCTGGCTTAAAAGAAACAGAAACTACCAGACAACCAAAGTCTGATCCTAGCTGCCCTTCTTAGCAAGCTTCTTTATATTTTGCAGGGAGGAATCTATGTTTGACTCAGCTGGAGCAGCTGCCCCCCTCCTTTTGGCTCCTTGCAGGGCTGGAATCAGACATCTTTTCATGAGCTTTTTCCTGATGGTGAATGGGATAAAAGACTGAGCTAGATAGATGCATAAGCGTGCAAAAGTGTGTAACCCTAACAGAGAGGGACAGTTGAGAAAAGGGAAGTTATAATTCTGAGCTCGAAAGAGAAAATTTGCAACCGTGTCTGTGAAAGGGAATCAAAAGTTTTATATCAGGGAACTTTGTGGCTCTGTGTTCCTTCTGTCCAGTTGTCTCCCTCTTAACTTCCGTAGGTGATGAGCCCTCCCACTTCTGTGCCTTCCCCTCAGTGTGGGCTGCCTGGGGCATGGCACAAAATTCCTCTCACCTTAGCGGGGATGGTCTCAACTCTGCCTTTTCCTCAGTGGCTGGGGAACAAGATGGCAGTTTTCTTCCCCTGTTGACCAGGCGCCTGCTCTACTTAGCAGAGGAGCTGAGTGTGCCCCACTGAGAGATGGCTTTGCTGATCCTGTGGTCACATCTGCCCCAGTGGCCTTGGCTTGTTAAAGTCTGGTGTGTATGGAGTGCCACCATGTCCTGACCACCCGAGGGCAAGGCCAGAGCGCCTGGGCGTGGCTGAGCTGTGAGGGCCCTGGGGACCGAGTCAGGCTATGGCCCCTAGGACTCTAGACCAGCCCTTTTCATGACCTGGTCCTGAAGAAACCACGCAACCATGTCTGACATGCAGTTGGGGAACACCATACTCAAGGGGCCAAAAGGAACTCTTCTGATTAAAAAAGAAGGTTCTTCCCATTGTTGTGTCTTTGGTAATTTTGAGGTTTGGAGACCGCCGGGTAGGTTTTTACAGCAAGACACATTTGGACCTTCTGTGTCCTTCTGATTTCCACACTATACCTTCTTCCCAATGGGGAAGCAAGTTGCAAACTGGCAGTTGGGCAATTCTGAGGGGGTTAGTTCAGTAACAAAAAACAAACAACAAAACTCCCCAGAGCCCTCTATTTTAGAGAGATTCATCAGACTGGAGGCAAATAACAGTTGCAGCTTCCCTACGTCAAGGGTAGCTAGATGCCATTTGTTTACGCATTTTCCCACCTTGTAACAAATACTTGAATGTTTTTCCTGAGTCTCCTTCCTCCTCCTCCCCCTGAAAAAAAGGGTGCTATGCAAAGGATTTGGAATTCCCACCCAAAGGAGAATAAATGGAAACCCTCCACCTGGGGGGGTTAGGCTGGGAGGGTGTTCAGCTCAACACTGTGCTCTTGTTGGGAACTAACCCTTTATTCTTGCCTTTTGCTGCTGTTTCTGTCCCTTTGGCAAAAGTATTCTTCTCCCTCCTTCTAGCGGCTCTATCATCAAGAGGGGGCTCTGCACCCGGCTTTCATTCTCCTCATTCACCTTCGCCTTCAGCTTGCAATGCTTTGACTTAAGTTCTCAGGCGCCGCCTGTGGGATAGAGGGTTGGCTGTGGCAGTAAGCTGCTGGCTTTGGAAAACATCACAGGTATTTTACTGTAACATGCAAGACAGTTTTGCCAGGGGAGCAATAAAGACATGGAGGGGAAACAGACCATTACCTCTAAACGCTGCGGAGGGAAGGTGGCAGAAATGAGGGATGCAGTTTGTGTTTGTAAAGCTAAGTCCTTTGCACAATCCTTTTTACAAGCTAGAACTTGCTTGACTTCAGTTTCTTCTTCAAGTGAGTCAAAGTATGTTAAAAGAGAATGGAAGGCTGAAGCTGAGAAATTTATCTGGGGACATCTTGGCATGTGAGCATTTTTTTACAGGGGTCCCAGTGGCCTGACCAGACTTTGGGGAAATCCTGCT